CAAAAGGTATCCCACCCCCCAAAAACCCCCGGAGTTAAATGAAAAATAAAAAAAAAAAAAAAAAGCAGAGAGCTCAGCCAGAATTAAAAAAAATAAAATATATAACCTAGGTCCACAAACAATTAACAAATTGATCCTGGACCCTTACGTGTGTGTGGTGTGAGTGCACACACTTGTGTGTGTTTGTGTGTGTGCATTTGCTTTGCTTTATTTCTTTTCGGGTTTTGGCTGTTTAGCTCCTAGTTTTTTTCCAGGCTGCCTGATTTTCCTTAGTCCTTCTGGCTGTGCATTTTCTCATTAGCCTTGAGCTGTTTTGGAAGACAGATAACCAAAACAGATACTGAGTCCATTTTTCAGTCCCTATCTTCCCCCTCCTTTTCCTCCTCCTTCTCTTCCTCCCTTTTCATTCCTTTCTCATTCTCTGGGTTCATAAAGCCCTGGAACTATAGATAGAGAGAGAGAGATATATATAAAGATAAGCCTCTTTTTTAAAAAAAAAAAAAGTAAAACGTTTACAATTGAAAAATAATCTTGTGAAAATAGGGTTTGTTTGGAGGGGGGTTGTGTGTGTGCAATGCTGCTGTTTTCTGGATACTTTAATGGAGCATGTCCCATGTACCCTCTGAGGCTCTGCACTGCCCACCTCTGTGGCCCTTCCTCACCTCTCTGCTGCTCTGCTGTTTTACCTTCACTTGGACCTTAAACACAACTCATGGACACTATGCAGAGAGTCTTCAAGAGGCAATAAACAGAACAGTATTAACCTGCTTTATGGAGGTTTGATCATGCTTCTTTGTACAGTTTGGTTTTTTTATTTTAAAAGGAATGTAATAAAATGGCTTTTTTTTGTAGAATTAAATATTATTATTAAAATCAAGTGAAAGGTTGACTGTTGGTGTTAAGCAGGAGAGCGGACCAGCTGGTCCGGCAACAACAGGAGCTTCAGCAGTAAAGGTATTTTCAAATCTTTCTTCCTGAGCCTTCAAGCGCACAGGTTACACCTGAAGAATATAAAGGTCTTTAACTTCCATGAAGAGCTGCAGAACCATAGAACATGAAAGAAACCTAATTTTCTAGTCACTGAGCAGTAAACTGTCTCTTCCAGGGCTCTTCTCTCCTTGCTTGTTTATCTAAGTGGAATTTGGGTGGTGGTGTTCCTTTCCCCCCGCGCCCCCCCCCCCCTTTTTTTTTTTTTGTCTTCTTTTTCTTTTCCTTTTTACTGGTAGGTGTCTGCACTCCTTGAGAGGCTGATAGGGTCAATCCTTCCCTTTTCAGCTGTGGCACACATTGAGCACATGTGGAATAACAGCAGGGGAGTAAACATGCTAGTTGGTATAGTGGGACCTTGCTATTTCTATCACAGGAAACATCTTTTAGAGGAAAGAACTGGTAACTGAACATTCTGGACTGTTTTTTGAGTCTCCATAGTATTTTGCAGCTCACAGGAACTTTACAATTTTATCACCCTTTCAGAATGTGCAGGTTACACCTCACAGTAGTAAAACTTGTGAAGTAAACATGAGATTTTTTGAAAGACAAACAGCGGATTGAGAGATTTACAGTTTGGCTCCCTTGGGATAAGATGCTCGTCTGGTTGGTGCTTCCATTGCTAGTTTGGAGAGAAGTCTATTCATAGTGGTCAGGGAGGGAGACAGGATTTGAAACATCATGTACATTTGTTTGGACATTGGGTATTGATACTGCATGAAAACCTTGCTTGAGGGTTCATTGCTACAAATGGGCACACTTGTCTCATGTATTTACTCCCTACTTACCCATTGCTCCTGAAATAGTGAAATGTATAGAATGGGCTTGGGGGTGCGAGGGGGAGTGTCTTCCTTTTACTTAAAGGAAAAAAACACAAATCTAGCCTGTGGTAACCAGGCAGTGTTTCCCATTGAAGGTGAACTTTACAGATGTCAGCTCTATACACTGTATTTCCTTCAGTTCCATATGCTGAAAAACACGTGCTAAACTTTCATACAGTTGCACTAACACTACCTCCGTATGTGGGTTTGGAAGCATGTGCTGAAAAAATGGTCAACGTAGTGCTGGGTTACAATAGTGCTAATACAGCTGATGGTGATACAACTATTTTTGTATATTTTAATGTTTGAAAGAGCCAGTTAGAAACTCTCGTTTGCAAGAATAAGTCTCTTAAACTACATCCGATGAAATTTGTTTCTTTGTAACACTGGAGATTTTCTTCTGTTCAACTTACCATGTTTATAATTGATGTGTTGCTGTGTCAATGTACGGATTGTATCTTAAACCTTGTATTTAATGCTTTAACGTGTTTTATAAAATCTTTTCTTGGAATGTTACAACACCTCATCCGTAACATAGCGTCAGTGCTTGATGCATATGTGGACTGTTAACATTTTGTTCTGAGCTGATGGTCACTCTTGGAGCATTTTCTCCCACTTCGTGTGCTATATTTCAAGTGTGATACTTACTCAGGAAATAACCTCTGGAACATCGTGTACGTCAGACGCAAAGGAGATATTTCTTCAGATGTTATACTGGACTTCAAAATCCAACAAATGAAACCAGTGACGTTTGCTAAATCTTTTCTCCCCCTTATTGCAAAAATCTGTCAGTTAAATACATAAGGGACCTTAAGGGCTTAGAGAGACTTTAAAAACAAATCGCATGTGCAGTATCTTTCTCATGGCTCACTCTTTTTGAGAAGGTTTATGGGCTTTATGGCTGGTGTGAGACACACGACCCACTCCTGTTCTCTCTATGGAATAGTAGGTGCTCGGACAGGTAACTTCTGTTGCTACTGTCTTTTTTCATTTTTAATTTTTTCACTGTTCTAGGAATTGTTTTAAACTGAACACTGCAGGATTTATAACCAGATGTTTGCTGCCTTTTCCTTTGTTTTATTTCTTTAAGTCTTTCTTAACCTTTGAGGGTGACTTTTGGAGCATTCTGATGGTGGAT